GACGAGGAGGCTGTGGGTGGCGAGGGTCTCCTAGGTCGGGTCCTTGCACCGCTTCGACGACGGCGACTGCTCCCTGTGCCCACTGTGCGCAAGGACCTTCTACGGGTGCTTCGTCTGCTACTTCTCCTACTGCCTCGTCTGCACGACGTTCTAGTGGCACCTCAGCCGGTGGTCGCCGGTCTTCAGCATCCCGAACTCGGCCCCCAAAGCGACCTCCAAGAGCTCCTTCCAGCGGACCAGCCACATTAACAGGCCTAGACACGGTAGGGGACAATCGGAGAGGACGAAACCCAAAAGCATTGGGCTCACAGAGACACACGGCCCCTTGTGGATGTGCTGACGAAGTGGGTGTACTCGAAGAAGGTGCGGGAGAACGCGGCGGCCGAGGACGACGCCAGCAGGAACTCTACGGCGTCTACGCTGTCGCCTAGCCGCCGGGGCAGTGGCAGTTTCCCGACGGCGTCGCCCATACACTTCCGTAGCACCCCGCTCTCTACGCTGGCCAGCTCGCTTAACTCCGAGCACCGCACCGAGTCGGCGCCCTTGCCACAAAGTAGCAGGCACCCGCTCCCGTAGCAAACGCCTCGAACAGTTCCAGTTCCAACAGCACAAAGAAAAAGAAGGGGCCAGAGAAGCTCCGACGCGAATAACAGCCGACGATCGTCCGTCGACTTCCGCCGTAAACCCTGTTAACTCCTCGTCGCCGACGACTCCCGACCTCAACACCGCCAAAGTACACCAAACCAAACGACTTTTCACTGCTAAGTCGACTCCTGTCTACTCTAGCGCTCAAACTGCAAGCAACACCCATCGAAGCCCTCTATTCTAACCTTCTAGACCGCCCAGCTTTTTTTTCACGACCTACAGTGAGGGCCCCGACGACTGTCTCCGCGGTCCCCGGGTTCATTAGCTATGAACTCACCGCCCTCCGCACTGCGGCCGAGTTGTTCACAGAACATGAAGCGTCGTTGGTACCTTGGTGTCGACTTTTGTTATAGAGCTTAAGATAGATTTCCTCCCATTCCAGTCGTAAGGGGACTGCGAAAAGAAGAGACAAGTCCATGTAAGACTCAATGAGAAAGTTGTGAATAACTACAGGGGTCAATGCATTGCGAGACCTTCCTAGGCTCGTCTCGGAGTGAGAGCTCGAAGATCTTGCCATGACCTGCGACCTACGGAACGTCCCTTAGTTTTGGTATTGCAGTTCGGAGCCGTGAAGTGTCCGTGTTTTTATTCTGGGTTTAGGTACACTGTTTTTTGTCTGTTGTTCACGGTTCATTTGACGTTTAGAGTTTGATTTAGCGTGCCGGCTAGGCCCGAGTAGAGTGCTTATAACGGATAAACCCATTCGACTTCTCGTCGAAAGCTAGAATACATGAGGAGAACTCACGAGAGCAGGAGAAGTCCAACAGTTCCGCCCACTTGGACCGGTAATTAACTGGGCGAGAACTCAACTTTAACTACGGGAGAAACCCAAATCTTTTCGAGGAAGAAGACAAGGAGGATGACCCGGCGGCCGGCGGAGCCGCTGCCTCTGCCACCAAGACGGAGAGCATCCGACGGCGAGCGCGCGCAGCTAGCATTCGTCGGCCCATCATTGCGCCTCGTGCCATTCCCGTTGCATCATCCAGTCGTTCGACATCGGAGGCCAGCTCTTCTCGGCCTTCTGCGGGAAGCTCCACGATCAACATCAAGGTCCAGATTCCAGAAAACGAACAGCTAAGGGTGACAAGCCATGCGCCTCCCTCTTCCACCACCTCTCCCACCTCGCCCACATCGCCCCTATCGCCAAGGGCAGCTCCTCAGAACAGCAGCAGCACCGGTGCCGACGGCCAACCGATGATGCTGCAGCGGGCCAGCTCGGACGTGATGCCCGACTTTCCGCTCCCAAGCGAGACGAACCGCCTGTACCAGCGCCTCGGGACCATCAAGTCGGCCATACTCATCTACTGCACGCTGCTCGGGCTCAGCCCCATCCTCAAGTCGCTTACGCAGTCCACGTCGAGCGACAGCATCTGGGCCATGTCGTTCTGGCTGCTGGCCATCAACATCTTCTTCTTCGACTACTCGGGCGGCGTGGGCGCCAAGTTCCCGGCGTCGCTGTCGACCAACGCGGCGCTCATGGCGTCGACGGTGCTGGCCAGCCGCCTGCCCTCGACCAAGCAGGTGTTTTGCCTGACGCTCTTCAGCATCGAGGTGTTTGGGCTGTTCCCCGTGTTCCGGCGGTACGTGCAGCACCGCAGCTTCCGGCAGCACGTCATCCTCACGGTGCTGCTGATCCTGGGCGCGGGCTGGGGCGTCGGCGTGGTGATTGCCGAGCCCAAGCCCGGGTGCTGGCCGTGGAAGCGCGGCATCGGCGGCATGGCCGTGGCCGTCATGATTGCGGCCATTGCCACGGGCGGGTGCAGCTGGTGGCTCATTGGGCTGCAGCGGTACAAGAACGAGATTCGGGGCCCGTGGGATCCTGCGAGGCCCATTATCATGAGCCGGCCGCGCTGGGATGATCGGTGATTTGACGATGATTAAGCGTGGGGGTTTTTGGAATTGAAGAGCGCGTTATAGACGGGATTATAGAGACTCAGAATTATACCATCGTAGACTAATATGGAGATGCTGTTTAGCCTGTGGCTTCTGCTGTGAAGAATGCATGGCTGGAACCTTGACTGTCTATGGCTCTGGGACGATGTGGTCCAACTCATCAGCAGTGATACTTGTGGCGATCGGTGAGAATAGAAGTAACCCCATCACATTCATGCATCTTTTGCTTTGAGACTTGGCCAACATGTATGGAACTACCACCTAGTAATAGTTCTACCGTCTCCCATCTACTGGGCAGTCAACAGTCCCTTATTTGGATAATAATAACAGGCCATGGAATCTTCCCTGGCTACTCCACAACTCCATACTCCTATATACTCGTAATCTACGGGCTTTTATAAAACTGTACTGTACCTTTCGTGAGGAGTTAAAACAGAAGGGTAAGATAAGATAGGGCAATGACCGACTTAGGTGCCATCAGCCTGTCGGCCCCCGTCCTCGTCTCACATATACAAAGAACAAGACCAAAATATTGACCTAAATCCCACATACATAGAGAGAGGGTGTTGTTTTCCCCTCTTTCTTTTGGGTGTGTCTCGAGAATTTGCGTAAATTTGAATACGAGGTTGCATTAGGCAGTTGGTAGAATTGACGGCAACTTTTGTTCGAGAATTTCCAGCTAGTAGTAGTAGTCACATCGTATTGTGCTTGGAAGAAAATGAAATGGGTTCTCATTGATGAGGAGAAACTAGAAGTGAAAACTCCAAGATAGATATCAATTTGACTGCTGGAAATGAGATTTTCTGCTTTTGGCAATGAACTTGCATCTGTGAAATGTTGAGGGGGGTTCCGTCGATCCTACATGATCGGCGCTTGTCAACGCATGCAACTCACAACGCATCTCTGAGATATATTTCTGTAAGGGAACATCACTTGGTGTTGAAACGACTCCATCTGAAGTCGCCGTTCAGTCCCATCGCTCCCCTTGCTCGAAACGGCACGTCTTATGGTTCTTGGTACTACTATCTGAAAGTTGCATCAAGTGTCTCGGGTATGGTAAAGGGTATCAACCCAACAACTCCCAACGTCAACAAACGACATCCATCTACTATCACGCCTCCATCATCCGTCATCATCTTTTGAATTGTCAATACTGTATAATGCACTACATACATTAGTAGTACAGGTAGTAGATCCAAACCATGCAAAGACCCTGAAACTCGTGCGACATCTGCCCACACCACTAAAACACAAGAGCAGTCATCCGAGTCTCCACAACCAGCCGTCACTTCCCCATCCATGCCATCCTCCTGTCAGGTACCTAGGTAGTGGTAGTAATACTTTTGGTCTTTGACTGAGACACGGCAGAATCCGAAATGACGGGAGAGGCTCAAATGTTCAATCTCGTCGTCTCCTCTTATCATGTCTCGCTCTTCAACCTCGTCTCACCAACACCAACAAAATCCCCAACTTCCAATGATAATACTACTACTACTACTACTACTACTACTACTACTACTACTACTACCACCTAAATAACACCTCGTCAAACACAGCCTTGGCGCACCAACCAACCAACTGACCTGATGTAGGTCCCGCTCCCTCCCCCTGCGCCAACCAGCCATTGATCCATCCATCCATGCAAAACGACGCCAAAACGATCAAGTGACAACCCCCCCAAACAGCGAATCAACGACCATTTTCACCCCCTTGTTCTCGTACTCGGTACCTTGCAGCGTGGCGCCGCTGTGCACCGTGGAGACTCTCTCTCTCTCCCCGCAAAGGAGTTGAACAAGCAAAATAACGATCCAATCAGCGACGGCAATTCGTCTCAAACCTGGACGTGAATTTTCTTTTCTTTCTTCTCCCCCTTCAACTCGTTGGGCCGGTGGCGGGCTTTGCAATGGATGTTACGGAGAGCCCACATTGTTTCAGCGTCTTCCGAGTACAGGCCAGGGCTATGTATGTAAGGTAGGTACAGTTGCAGATGCCCTCAAGTGGCTGGACTGACGGCTGAATGCACGTCGCAGCGGCTATAGCGAATACGGGCATCGAGTCCCTGAAAGGCAAGTCGAGGGCCCTGCATCCCGCTCTCACCAGTCACCTGCACTACCACCTAAACCTACCCCACGACCTCCCAAGTACAATCACGACCGTCGAGGGGGTCTACGACGACTACCAAGGCAGA